TGGGTCACCCCGTGGGGAGGGTCCCCGTGGGTACGGTCACCCCGTGGGGAGGGTCCCCACGGGCAGGGTCACCCCATGGGCACAGTCACCCTGTGGGGACCGTCACCCCGTGGGGCTGGGTCACCCCGTGGGGCAGGGTCGCCGTGGGCACAGTCACCCCATGGGGCAGGGTCCCCGTGAGTACAGGCACCTCGTGGGGCAGGGTCACCCCGTGGGGAGGGTCCCCGTGGGGATGGTCACCCCGTGGAGTAGGGTCACCCCATCGGAGGGTCCCCACGGGCAGGGTCACCCTGTGAGGACGGTCCACGTGGGCACGGTCACCCCGCGGGGCTGGGTCACCCCGTGGGAAGGGTCACCCCATGGGGCAGGGTCACTCCTTGGGGAGGGTCCCCACGGGCACTGTCACCCCGTGGGGCAGTGGGTACGGGTACCTCGTGGGGCTGCATCACTCCGTGGGGAGGGTCCCCATGGGGCACAGTCACCCCATGGGGCAGGGTCCCCGTGAGTACAGGCACCTCGTGGGGCAGGGTCACCCCGTGGGGAGGGTCCCCGTGGGGCAGGGACACCCCGTGTGGAGGGTCCCCGTGGGCACGGTCACCCCGTGGGGCTGGGTCAACCCGTGGGGAGGGTCCCCACGGGCAAGGTCACGGCATGGGGCAGGGTCCCCGTGGGGACCGTCACCCCATCGGGTTGGGTCACCCCGTGGGGAGGGTCCCCGTGGGTACGGTCACCCCGTGGGGAGGGTCCCCACGGGCAGGGTCACCCCATGGGCACAGTCACCCTGTGGGGACCGTCACCCCGTGGGGCTGGGTCACCCCGTGGGGCAGGGTCGCCGTGGGCACAGTCACCCCATGGGGCAGGGTCCCCGTGAGTACAGGCACCTCGTGGGGCAGGGTCACCCCGTGGGGAGGGTCCCCGTGGGGATGGTCACCCCGTGGAGTAGGGTCACCCCATCGGAGGGTCCCCACGGGCAGGGTCACCCTGTGAGGACGGTCCACGTGGGCACGGTCACCCCGCGGGGCTGGGTCACCCCGTGGGAAGGGTCACCCCATGGGGCAGGGTCACTCCTTGGGGAGGGTCCCCACGGGCACTGTCACCCCGTGGGGCAGTGGGTACGGGTACCTCGTGGGGCTGCATCACTCCGTGGGGAGGGTCCCCATGGGGCACAGTCACCCCATGGGGCAGGGTTCCTGTGTGGGGCAGGGTACCCCTGTGGGGAGGGTGTCCCCGTGGGGCACAGTCACCCCACAGGGCACGGTCACCCCATGGGGCAGGGTTCCCATGGGCAGGGCCACCCGTGGGGACGTGGGGCACAGTGTGGCACTGGCCGGGTGAAGTGGGTGCCCACCTATGCCCAGCCCACGGGGTGACCATGCCCCACTGTGCCCCACGTCCCCACGGGTGGCCCTGCCCCATCTGCGTGGGTGGGCACGGGACGTGGCGGGGGGGGGGGGGTCTCCCCAGCTGGGGGCACGGGGGGGACATCGGGGACCTGTGCCACCCCATGGCTGTGCCCGCTGGGGGTGCTCATGGAGTCGCTGGTGGGGACACCGTGGGTGCTTTGGTTGGCGGGTGGGTGACAGCAGTGGGTGACACAGGGGTGAGAGGAGAGGGTGGCACAGGGGAGATGGCAGTGGGTGGCACAGGGGAGATGGCAGTAGGTGGCACAGGGATGACAGGAAAGGGTGGCACAGGGGTGATGGGAGAGGGTGGCTCAGGGGTGACAGGAGAGTGGCACAGGGGAGATGGCAGTGGGTGGCACAGGGGTGACAGGAGAAGGTGGCACAGGGATTTCAGGAGGGGGTGGCACAGGGGTGACAGGGGAGAGTGGCACAGGGGTGATGCCAGTGGGTGGCTCAGAGGTGACAGGACAGGGTGGCACAGGGATTTCAGGAGGGGGTGGCACAGAGTTGACAGGGGAGAGTGGCACCGAGGTGATGGCAACGGGTGGCCGAGGGGTGGCAGTGGCAGGTGGCCCACGGGGGCTGGTGGCCGGTGGCACGTGAGCGAGAGCAGTGGGTGCCAGGCGGGCCAGGATGGCGGGTGGCAGGCGGGCGAGGTGGTGGCAGGCCCGGGTGCCCAGCAGCAGGTAGAGCCAGGGGTTGAGGCAACTGCTCAGGTTGAAGACCAGCCCCAGCAGGTAGAGGAGGTGGCTCGGGGGCTCGGGGACAACCAGCTGCAGCAACTGGGTGACCTGGAAGGGCAGATGCAGCAGCACGTAGATGCTCAACGTGGCCACCAAGATGTGCTGGAAACGAGCCGGCGGGCGGCCACCTTGGCCACCCCGGCAGCGTGCCAACACCAAGGCGGCTCCGTGGCACGTCACCACCACGCTGAAGGGCAGTAGCCCTTCCACCATCACCTCCAGCCACCTCATGGGGACCTCCCAGCTCCCCCGTTGGCTGTAGCACATCACCACGCCGGGCAACACCTCTTCGGCTACCGACAACGCCGCGTCGGGCAAGCTGCACCCCCCTGCCACTAGCCAGGAGCCCACACACAAAGCCACCGGTAAGCGGGTGGGCCGGTGGCACCGGTACCAAAGCGGGGTGGCCACCAAGAGACACCGGTCCAGGCTGATGGTGGCCAACAAGAAGAGCCCGCTGTAGTAACCCCAACAGTAGAGGAACATGTAGAGGCGGCAGAGGTGGGTGCCCAGTGGCCACTGGTAGCCGTGGGCCACCGACCAGATCTGCAGGAGGGAGTTGGCCAGGAAGAGGAAATCAGAGGTGGCCAGGCTGAAGATGAAGGTGGCCAGGCCCCGGCACCGCAGGCGCCAGCCCGTTAGCCAGAGGGTGAAGGCGTTGGCCGGCAACCCCAGCACGGCACAGGCCACCAGCAGCTGGCCGTCCCAGTTCAGGGTGGGGGGGGGCAGTGGGAACAGCGTGGGGGGCAGCGTGGGGGGCAGCGTGGCGTTCGATGGCTCCATCACCCGGGCTGTGGTCCCTGCGGGTGGCACGGGTGGCTCAGGGCCGGGCTGTGGTCCCTGCGGGTGGCACGGGTGGCTCAGGGCTGCAGGAAGGGGGGTGTCACCCCCTCCTGTGTCACCCCCTCCTGGGTTACCCCCTCCAATGTCACCCCTTCCCGTGTCACCCCCTCCCAGGTCACCCACTCCCATGTCACCCACTCCTGGGTCACCCACATGTCACCCCCTCCCGTGTCACCCCCTCCTGGGTCACCCACATGTCACCTCCTCCAATGTCACCCCCTCCTCGGTCACCCCCCCCCCCGTCCCCCCCCCCCCCGTACCCCCCCCCCCC